AACAACACAGCAGTAGCGTCAAAGTGAAGCTACTGACGGGGATTAACACAATCTCTGGAAAATCACGGAAGTTTTATCATGTTAATCCGCTTTAAGTCTTTGTCCTTGGCCGCAGGGGAGAGACAAAAACCTGAAGATGCAACAGATAAATAAAGATAATGAAGAAACAAAATAGAACTTGAGAGAGACGTACAAGACGCTTCGCTCTACGATTCTTCTTCGCCACTTGGCTATTATCCTGTGTCCACTAGTACTAAGCTAACTAGTACACAGGCACGGTGAGTACATTACCTTTTTGTTAGCTTTAAAAACGTGATAAGTGTAAACAACAAGAGTTACATCAACAACAACAACAGCAGAAGTTAGGTTAAGCGCCATTATTTGCCCCACACCAGGCAACATGCACCAATCTATATACTTAGAGTCGTTATTTTGAATATTGAACACAACGGTTACCATGACGTGTTCAAGCGCGAGCCAATCACCGACCACCAACAGAACTTGATCCCGCCATACACAGGTACTGACACACACCTTCGTCAGCAAGCTCCTCTACCATAAATACCTCCACCTCCTAAAAATACCGAATTTATACCTAACTAGCATGAACTACCGATAAATATTCACCCCCCTGTTGACCGTTCACAACACCCCCAAAGTCTAATCAATGAAACGAGAATAACAGGATTTACTAGATATTGTAACCTATGAAACAACCGCTCGTCAGTCAACCCTATACACCCGCCCGACACACTCAATATAATGTTATATAATCTTATGAACCAACTAATTCAACGCTCCAATGCCACCTTCCTCCCCCAGTACCACTACATGTATCCACCCCCCTACCCCCCCGGCACCACCACTACACAAATGACGCACACAAGCAATGCCTGCAATATGGTCACAGCGATCAATCTGTTTGCAAGAATGATGCACGCCGGCCCGCCCTATTGTTTGTATAAGTCTCTACTTCAGCTGCTTCCCGGGGTCTCATTTTCATCTCCATTACCGCCGACAATCACAATCCTTGAAACAAACAGAGGGAACACAGAGGCGCCATTAGACGTAGGTACAAAAGGAACAATTGAGATATCACACACAGGCGGGTCAACAGATGGGAGGGTAGAGGGGGGCCAGTGTAATCCACACCCTCCGCTGCTGCATACAAGGGGGTGACTGGAGGGGGGAAGGGGGATAATGGTGGTGATAGTAAGAAGGGGGACGTAAGGGTAGGTAGAGAAGGGCTGCAATGAGGGTATGAAGGGGGAGGGAGAGCCTGCAGGGAGAGTATAAAGGGAGGAGGAAGGAAGGGAGGGGATAGAGAGGGAGGGAGGAGGGAGGGGCAACAGTGAGAGGGTAGAGGGGGAAAGGAGAGGGAGGTCCAGTCACCAGTATCATCTCTCAGCAACGCCCACTTCATCAACACACACACACACAAATAGGTAACCGTGGTAATAATTGATCCATGGCCTGAAAGAATGTACATATATTCTCGTCAACCGGATGTGGATAATCAATACCTCGTGCAATGTATAGTGTTTTTGGTGCGTTTCTATGTAATTTTTGCCTTCTCCCTCTTCCAATCCCCTTTCCATCCCCTATTCCTTCCCCTCTACACTATCCGTTCCTTCCCCTTCTTTACCTTCTTCCTTCCCTTCTTCCTTCCCTTCTTTACCCTCTTTCATTCCCCTTCCCACCTCTCTGCTTCCTTCCCCTCTCTTCTCCCTCCCCCGCCTCTCGTAACATTACATCACCCATGAATAACAACAACAACAATAGCTCCTCCTCGACAAGTTCTCAAACAACAAAATTTACCCAACACAAAAAAAAATCCTAAAAATTAAATCAGATTCCCCAGAGCGAGTCCAACAGCTAAAGGGAAAATGACATCTTATTATTAATTATTTTAAAACTAGAGAGACAACACGGGAGGAGAATGTTAATGGCTGCCGGAACTAAAACAGGAGATAGAGAAAGGGGGAGGTTTGGCAGCGGTGAAGTGAACAGTGGCCCCTTGGCATTGATATCTGGATCTCTTATTGTTGACACAGAATTGGTTTGATCATAAGTATCCTTGAGGGGGTGGGGGCAGACAGACAGACTACAGCTGCATCACCCTTAAACGAACACCCACTCCCCCCTTACCTCCCCTTTCAGTGTCCCTCTCTGTCCTGAATACAGCAACACACGCCCCTCATCCGTCTCTATTCAATCCAGTAATCGAATTTAAAGATTTACAAGTCCTAATTTACACGGTAATCAGATACAGGGATCAAGACCAGAACTAATGAAACTTTTACCCCCTCCCAGGCCATCACACTGCCCTGCATGATAGAGTTGAGTTCATGCACTTTAGACTGACTGCACTGGTGAGGTCATTTACTCGTGGCAGTGAGCTGTAGAGGGGGTGGAGGACACCGGTGCAACACAGTCATCGTTTATCAAGTGAATAGTAAAAAAAAACCACATTGATTCGTGATTGCAGACTGAAAGGATGACCTGCACGATGGGGTTGAGGTGTAGTGGGGTGGGGTTGGAAGTGAGGCACGGTGGGAGGTTGGGCAAAGGGGTGCAGGTGAGGTGCAGGTTGAGAGTGATGCGAGGAAGTGCGTCGTGGTGATGGTAGTGAACGCCACACTCCACTCACGCTCGTCTTACATCTCCCGCCGCGGTAACGTGACGCCACCTACACCCCCACAAGGCCGGTTTGGACGCCACGACAGCCTTGACTGTGACATAATAACCCAGCTGGAGCGAGTAAATAAAACACTTTCATTGTCCTTCTCGGCCCTAACCCAACCTAACCCCAAACTGTTAACGTTTGTGAAGTCTAACGTTACTTCCAACATCACAAAGAAAACGTTTACCTGATGTTCCAACGTTTACCTGATGTTGCTTCACCATCAGTGTCATCTAGAAACGTTGCCAAGTGCTGCAACATCACCAACAGAACGTCACCAGACACTAGTGCCGCTCATCAACACCTTCAGGAAACCAGCTACCTATCAACACCACCTCAGCATCAACCTTAACACACACACACACACACACACACACGACTCTCTCTACAGTTCCCGAATTTACCTGTCCCGAACACCCGCTACCTGTACTAACATCACCTGGGGGCAACACTTGATCCCCCGAAGGCTTTTTATATCTGGTCGCCAACACACCAGCTGCAGTCACCGTTACTACTGACCACATCATCACCCACAGCCTCGGGACACACACAGAGGACCTACTGTACTGTGGTCCACCTTGTGACACTCATAATAATCTCACCTTTGCATCCCCGTTATGTGTCGTGGCAATTGTGTGACTCAGTTAATATTTGCCAGGCACAAGAAGCTGTCACAACGTACAGTGTGTGTGTGTGTGTGTGTGTGTTACTTAATTACGTCTAAAACGTGAAAACAAACAGTGAAGTGAACATCTTTGAATTATGAGCGAGACAACGAAGGCGGGAGCAGAGAAAAACGAAAAAAAAGCGACAGAAAAAGCGAGGAAAACAGAGAACCAAAAGAGAAGAATACATAAAAGGATAAATGGAAAGGGAAAGTGAGAGGGGAGAGAAGATTGGGTGTAAACGAATGGAGAGGAGAGGGAGAAAGATGATAAAGGGCGAATGAGAAGGAAAAACAAAGGTGTGGATAGGAAAAAGAGTGAAGAATGATAAAGAGGAGAGGAGGAAGACGAAGGACATTATCACCAGCAGGATGACCCGGACACGGCAGGAGGGCGGCACCATCCCCCTTCCTGCCCCGTGCACCGTGGGGGGCGTAATGGTCGTCACAGGGAGGCACAGATGGCGGGCCTGTAGGGGTTGAGGGAGACAGGTGACTCGCTGTTGAGGACACCACCACAAAGGGAAGCTCTGGGGGGGGAGTTGGATCCTCGAAGTGATGGAGTAGAGTATTAGCCCAAGAGGATCAGGGAAGGTCTGTGTGTTAAACAAAGACCTCAAACCTTTACAAAAAAAATCAAGGAAAAATCTCTCTTTAGATCCATAAGTAACTCAGGTAAATACTGTACGAAATTTCCTTTAAAGGGGTTAGGTTAGGTCAAGGCGACTCTAACCACTAAATTAACACCAGATCATTAACCGTAAACTCCACTGACAAAATTCAATACAAAGAATACTCTCATAACTAAGAATTAAAACTCCTGTATTATAAATCATTTCCTCGTCACATCTAGAGACCAGAAAAAACGTCCTTGATAAGCGCCATTATTTGACACTTTTTTTATTACGAGTCTCTAATCACAAAACTCTATTCAAGTTACGAAGAAGAAAAGAAAAGCAAAAAAAAAAGAAAAACGCTAAAAATGTGTGTGAAACTGTGTGTTGCAATGAGTAGTGAGTGACAGGATAGCCTCCAGTGTGAGTGAGTGAGTGAGTGAGTGAGTGAAAGTGTGTGAGATACGATAAGTCCATCCAGTAAGACAGATCTATATATACCAAGAACTGGGTGTAGGGAGGGTGTCTGTCTGTCTCTCTCCTCCAGTAGGTGTGAGAGTAGGAGGGTCGCCACCAGACCTGCAGCAGCTGTGTGTTGTTGCATAATCCAGCACCGACCATGACGAGCAAACGAGTCATGCATGCACCTCCACCCGGCTGTCTCCATGGTCGTCAAGCTGAACACTCACCACTGCCAAGCTTAACACACCCAACATCGCCAAGCTTAACACTCACCATCGCCAAGCTTTAATATCCACCCACCATCGAAAAGCTTAACACACCCTTCATCAAGCTTTAAAACACCACCGTCAAGCTTTAACACTCATCACTATCAAGCTTTAACACATTCATCATTGGCAAGCTTAACACTCACCATCGCATGTGAGTGAGTGAGGTGGGCATTAATCACCAATGGACGTACTTGCAGGAAGACAATAAACCCCTGAGGTAAACCCCACCCTGAGGTAAACCCCACCCTCAGGTAAACCCCTTTCCCCCGGGGGTTTGATTCACCACAAATACAGAGGCTCACACTCACCAGCATTTCCTCCTCAGCATCTCCCCCGTTAAGCCACACACACACACATACCTGTAAAGATAACAACCAATTAATATAAGGAAAACCTGCACACACTAATAATAATAATAATAACAGCAATAATAACAATAATAACTGCAACAATAACAATGATGACAATAATAACATCAATAATAACAATACTAACTACAGCAATAACAAAACAATGACAATGACCATAATAATAATAATAACAGCAATATAATAAAAATAACAACAATAACAATAATAAAATAATAATAATCAAATAACAATAATAACGCCCCACGAACCTTCCATCTACCACCGTCAACCCCCAAAAGATCTACCTGAATCTAATTGCTTTTTGTTTTTGCCCGTGAAGGTGAGACTAAGCTCGTGATGTTGCAACCTGAATAGAGTATTTCCTGAAGCGATGACAACAGTGTGTGTGTGTACGTGTGTGTGTGTGTGTGTGTGTACGTGTGTGTGTGTGTGTGTGTGTACGTGTGTGCGTGTGTGTGGCCTTCATGGATGATGGCTTCAGGATGACTGCCAGGGAAGGAGGGAGAAAGGACTCTTGCAAGGTCCATTGGTGCACAGGTATAGCGGCTCACTGATCCATGGAGCAGGACTACCCACCTTAATCCACCATAAGATCCTACATTAGCCTGTCATCCTAGACGTCCTCATCCACTACATGATCCACCCGTCAACCTGATCCACTTATCTCCTCCTCCTAAATCACCCTGATCCACCATTTGATCCACGGAACATCCCAGTCCACCAACCAATAAGACCAGAGAGAGAGAGAGAGAGAGAGAGACCAGCGACCTTAACACCATACACATTTTCCAGCTCAGATGGTGACGACAAGAGGAAGGGAGCGAGAGAGGAAGAGGAGATGGACATATGGGAAGGACGGAGAGGAAGGGAGGGGGAGACGGAGAGGGATGAGGAAATGAGGGAAAGAGAGATAGAGGAAGAGGGTAAATGGGGGAAGGGGAGGGAGAAAAGTACCTCATTGAGAGAACCTTTTATTGATCTGGTCGTCGTGTGGGTGGAAGGGACACACACACACACACACACACACACACACACACACACACACATACACCAGATTTACTACACCTAAATCAATAACAATACAATAATTACCCATAAAAACACAAACATTACGTCGTGGTCTTCAGCCTAACTTCACTTCCATGCGAATCCCATCGATCTCGCATGTCCTTCGAAGTCAAGAGCAAACACGACAAGACGAACTGATCTAATAGGAGTCATAGCCACCCCTAAGTCTCCCCACACACCCCCAAAGACACTCACGTCCAACCACTCGTTCAGTCAGCAGTCTGTAACGTGTGCATTGAGCCAAGACATTTGAAGTCATTTACTTTTTTTAAGTTATCTGCAACAATATTTATCCTCGACGGGGTCTGCAGCCATCATTATTATTCTTAGTTGTGTAAAAAAATCTCTCTCAGTCTACACAATGCACACAGCCCCTACCATCAGCACGGCGTCTCAAATCGACAAAAGGTCATCGTGCAAAAATCATTACATCACAGAGGGGAGCCCAAAACACTCCAGTCAAGAGCCTGTCTCCTCCACATCACCAGCCTGTCGTCACCACCTCTTAACCACACCACCACAACCATCTCCCTGCCCCCACAATCACCTCTCAACTACACCATCACTGCCATGACGACCCCTCAACCACACCATCACCACTCCCACCCCTACCACAATCACCAATCACTACCACCTCCCACCACCACCCACAAACTAACTAACACTGTCACCAGCTCTCGGCAGCGTGACTCCTCCCCCCGGCCTTACGTTACACCGTTCATCAGCCCCAATAGCTGAGCGACACAGGTAGGCAAAACATCCACCCTGGTCATGAGTGGCTTGATGTTGCACCGCTATAACATCGCCATTAACATCATGTGGTGAGAACAAAGAACCAAATATGATGTTTCTCTCCGCCACATCATTATCACCAGAACTGTACGTACGGGTTTACCACCACCACCACATCCCCACCACATCCCCACCACACCACCAGGACAAACCATCAGGTGGGGTTAACACACTCCTCCTTTGTCGCGTCTCCCTCAGGTGATAAAGATAATTATAAACACAAATTAAATTAAACTCAATTTCCTTTTCATTTCATAATTAATACGAAGAAAATTAATCTCTATTGCCCTACAAGAGTGATAAAATTCATAGGGAGGAAATTTTAAGTACCGTATTGTCTTTCCTATTCAAAGGTAATTACAGGTAAGACTACAGGTAAGAATATAACTGTACACAGGACGTGGTCTGAGGTAACTACGTCCAGTACGATCTGTCACTCCTGCTTCAGATAAACACTAACACCAGGTTGGCCTTCTTCAGGTAGTTACACCTGGCATGACTAAGACCACCTATAATAATAAACTTTTAGACTCAAAAAACAACAACAGGTAAGTTCTCTGCTTCTGGTAACAACAGGTGTAGGTTCTTTGGGGTCCTGGAAGTAACATCACCAAGGTGTACTGGTAAAAATAAAAACTAACCTAACCAAACCCCTGAAAAAGGTGTATTATGGTCTTTGTTACTAGACCAAGGTACAGTAATCGTCCACAGGTGATAAAAAACAACATTCAACCCTTATGAACACAGACCAGAACAACAGCGAGTACAAGCCAATATTATGTAGATTACGAGGTGTTTGGTAACTGCATGTTGAGGAAAACAAAACAGGAAAAAAACAAGGTGTGAGTGTTAAGAAGAACAAAAGGTGTTAAGGAGAACTAATGGTGTTAAAGAGAACAAAACAAGATGGCCTCCACAGAATAAAAATAAGAGAGAGAAACTGAAGTACTGTAGGTGGTGTGAGAGGTGAACAAGGCCCTGGTGGCGGGGTGGGTGTGGGGTATCACCACCTGTGTGTGTGTGGAGCAACAAAACGATGCTGGTGATGCAGGTGGTGTAAGGTTACCTCCATAGTGGTGATAGTGAGAGGCAGCAACAATGATACAGTGGTGTGGCTGTTGTAAGTGTATCAACAATGGTACAGTGGTGTGGCTGGTGTAGGTGTATCAACAATGGTACAGTGGTGTGGCTGGTGTAGGTGTATCAACAATGGTACAGTGGTGTGGCTGGTGTAGGTGTATCAACAATGATACAGTGGTGTGGCTGGTGTAGGTGTATCAACAATGGTAGTAGTGGTGTAGGTAGTGGTAGACATCAACACACACACTACCACCGCTCAGTGTCCGGCCGGAGGAAGACGGGGGGTTGTAACAGGACACCCACGGCAGCGTCAACCATATGCGGGCGGCAGGGAAATAATAAACCCCTGATCGAGTCCAATTAGCATAGAGAGGGTTGGTTAACTCTAGTGTTGTTTAAGTCTATGCTGGTACCATTAACAACACACCATTAATACGCCCAGTCATACACACACACAACCAAACTCTTAATATCAGTATTAACTTAACAGACAACAGACATTCCTAACCCAACCTAACCTTGAAATGTTCTATTAAAACTAATATATTCCCACGTTTTAAATAATTATAACTATTGAGGGATAATGACACGTTAATACGAGCACTTATAACACAATCACACACCATGTTCTTGTGGGCATCTCAATCACGATAACACGACCCGTCACGCATCTGTTATTTTTTTACACACAATGAAACAAGACGCCGCCGCCACAATCACCAACAATAACAATACACTCCATGGCCTGGACGCAACGCAACAAGCAACAGATGATGATGACGGTCTCTCTCTCTCTCTCTCTCTCTCTCTCTCTCTCTCTCTCTAATCCCCGTCTTAGAGCAACAACAGAACGTGAAGGAATATGACATTACGCGTGTTGCAGGGGACACGCCTATCCCCTCCCCCGTTCTCATCTTCCACTGTCACCGCATCTGTTTTGTTTACACCTTGTTCATCCACTCCTCGCCAGGTGTGAATCCAAAGACTCTTGTATACTGGTGGTCGCCAAGAACCGTTCATTGGTTGGTTAAGGATCATAAAATCACCAGGCCGTTTTGCCTCTTTCGTCCGTCTGGCTTGTATTATTTGTTCGTCCATCTAGTGCTATTCGTCCGTTCGTAATTTTTTATTAGACCAGTGAAACAGTTAAATGCACTTATGACGACATTGTCACCATACATCAGTTAACACAGTCACACAAATTGAAATACTCAGCCATTTTGACCCGCCATCCAAAATTCTCACTTTCAACCAAAAAAATAAAACAAAGTAAACTATCGAAAAAAAAACCCACCAAGAATTTCTATGTTTTATCTCATTAAAGACAACCATAAAATAATCCAAGAAAAATATCTTAAATTTATCACTTTCATTCCAGACATCAGATACACGTTTCCTGTCAGAGGCATAGAACAGTGCAGGTAATTGGCATCGTGAAGTTGTTTGCGGTGTCGGGTTAATGGAGGGAGTGGAACGGATGCGGCCACAGGTGAGGAGGATAACTCGGGTAGTTGCGGGCACCACTCTGTCTCCCGCACCACACAAACCCCCTCACTCCCCGGTGTCACTGTCTCCTGGTGGTGGGGAGACGAAGGACGGGAGAGATCCTAACACGTGCAGAAATTCCCCCCGAGGCATCTCTTGGTTCCTAGACTGTCTCGACTGGTAACTATTCCCTCCCACGCTCTCACCTGCCTCTTTCATCACTCCCTGCCCTCCCCCCATACCCCCTTCATCACATCCTTTCGTCCGACCGACTGCCCTCCCCACCCCCCATCATAACCCACGTTTTACAGACTCCTACTTGGGAAACTTAAACACATGAACAAGGAAGTAATTAGAGGTTCGTCATTACTTCATGGTCGCTGGATTCAAAGTAAACACAATAAACCCGCCATGAGTCACCACCTCGTCACTTGCCTGCTCCCTCCCTCCTCTCAGACAGTGTTGTTGGTCAAGCCCAGGTGGAACACTTGAGGTGGTGAGAGATGCAGTATTGTTTGTTTGTCCTTGGTACTATCCATTGCCGCCCCCCCCCCCACCAACGA